TGCACTGACTAAATTTTAGTGTTATAGCATCGTAGAGCCATCACCGTAGCTGATGGCTACCAGGCTAATGAGTATGTACAGCTATGTTTAAAAAAAAAAACCACAACAGCTAGCTAGGTTATATTTTCATTATACAACCACTTACTTAAGCTTCTCAAACCCATCTCAAAAGCATTCATTTAATAACTCACCTCACCCCACTTGACTTCAAAACCTGCACAAAGTTCACCTATGGCATTTAAAACAAAGAGAAGCACTGCTTTTGTGCAGCAATCCTTACCTATCAGCAGTAAAGCCGCATCCATTACCGCTGCGCCGTTCAGCATAGTAGCCATCAAAATGTCGTGGCCAGGACAATCCACAAAAGAGACATGCCTGTTGTAGACAACAGTGAGAAAGGCAAAAAGCCAATTACCAACAATTTCTGTCAATGTGAATGCCTAAGCAGACACACCAATTAAATGAGTCCTTAAGATAAATTAATAAAGCAAATAAACAGGAACACGGAACCAGTTGCTGAGGAGTAACACATTAGAAGTACATTTGTAGAAATGCAGACTACTGAAAGGCTACCGAACAATAATTCTATTCTATGTTGTGTGTTTTGAGTTCTATGATTCAATACCTTATATTCATGCTAGGCATTGCTGCAGTATTTCACGAATGTAAGACTGACTCAAATGCACCAGAACAACAACAAAACTCACAGGGTACAGCATACTGTATCCCATTTCCCATCTCTTAAGTTGTCTCCCACTCTGAAATTTTCAAAAATTGTAAGCCTTTAATTGTATGACTAAAACTGCCCTTCACTTCAAAGATTTACACACAGAAACAACACTACAGCCATGAGCTCCAACCTTATGCTTTTGTTGTGCAAGACCATCACAGCCAATACATTGCTTTCTGCTGCCAATTCGCTCCATGAAGAAACCATGTAACACACCATCAAAGAGCAAGGAACTAATTTGCTGCTTTGTAACCTGAAGTTAAAAACTACTGCAAGCAAATAAGCACCAAGATACAGAATCTAATGCTTTTAAGCACTACCTTAACAACGGCTGCGTAACAATCACACACCATCAGCAGTTACTGTTACAAGTGCTCTACCAGAGATCTGATTAAAAGAAGGAAATACACACTTAGAGCAGTGCATGTATTTCCTACAGACGCTTGAACTAAGAATCTTGTCATACAACAGCCTTTGTGACTAGTCTCATTCAATCACTGCAAAGACTCACACAACAACTACCTAGATTACTAGACTTGTATAATGACCACGTTATGATTATGAAATTAATAAAGGGCACCTATGCTCCAGCACAAGGACTGATCTCACATTAAGAATCAGGCTTTATTTAACATTCTTTTTTGGAACTCGGAAAACTTTTCTGCCTCCAGTAAGAGAAAGGTCACAATTAAAAAAGGAATTTAAAAGAATGAGTATGTGAGGCACACATTAGTTTTTATTCCGGTGGCTTTAACATGTACTTATCTTCAGAGCAGGAAAAAATATTGTTTCACTTCAGAACAAAGCACTCATGGACACAAAGTAGAGCTGTGCTTTACCTCAGATCGTGCACCACAACTAATAAAAACAACAAAGGTTACATGATGTCTCATATCTGGGGCATCCAATCTACAGAGCCTAAGAGCATGTGGTCTGCTGTTATCATTCAGCATGCAGCTCAACCCTGACTATTTTTAGTTACGTAAAGAAAGTATAACTAAATCAAACATAATTTACACCACTAATTTTACAGCATTTACCTGACTAGTTTGAAATTCCCTTTGGTGCCAGGAATATCTGTAGGGAATTCATCTGGGGTACTACTTCCACAGGATCGGTAACATTCTGGTCGGGAACAGCTTGGGTCATCCAACTTGTAAATCTGTAAGTATTTTTTTTTTTAAAGTTTAATTCATTAATAGTTACTGATAAGCTTATGTCCACCTTGTAATATCTTAGAGACGTACTTGCTCGATTTCTATCAGTGACTCACCTTTGCATTGGCATAGCCCAGCTTGATCGTGATATTTCTTTCCAGTTCATTTTTAAACCTGACAGTATGAACACCAGATATGGCTTTGACTACTGTCGACTTTCCGTGGGCTACGTGGCCAATTGTACCTATTGAAACATAGGTACAAACAAAAAAAAAAAAAAAGGCAAATGTTTGTCAGTTAACTGCTATTCAATGTGTACAGTGACCATCAACACAATTACCCAAACACTTTGGAGCCAGTAAGCCCAGTGCTGCCATCAAAATACACATGGATTCCTCAGTTACTTTGTCTAAACCAACAACAGCCTAGAATGAGCTCTCAAACACTTTTACTAGTGTGAAAATCATTTCAGTTCCTAATTTAAAGATTAAAAAGACCTTCCCTTAGCAACTACTCCCCACTTCATTCAAAGTAGTGCTCTTGAAGTAAAACTGTAGTGCTTCTTAAGTTAGAAGAGTCTGACAAGTCTCTTCCTGCATCCTGACAAAATCTGTAATAAAAATACCTCATCTATATCATTATGTATAGGTATGAATTTCTTAATTTATTTTTCCACATAGGTACCATACATTAACACATGAGCACCAGGAAGCACCACATTAACATGTCCCCCGTTCATTCTTTAGATTTATTTATTTATTTATTTTACCTATATTAATTGTGGCTTGTCTGCTGATGACTTCTGGTGAAAGAGGAGTCAGCTTGGTAACATCCTGTACGAAAGAGATTTTACAATTTACTCATTTGGTATCAAAATGCTTAGAGTACTACACATATTTTCTCAAAATCTAATCAAACCCCTTAAAGTAACTCGAGTTATACATTCCAGTTTTCTTAAGTATGTGAAATGGTAAAAAGGGAACAAGTCTACAATCAGATTAGGCTGTAAAGCAATAAAGAAAAGAAGCAAGAAATAGAAAAAAAGGAAACTTTCAAACAAAAAAAAATACACCCCATCCATGCCCAAAATTAAATTGTTTATAACATGCCAACTGAAATTAACTTTCCACAAACTACATGGCCAACCATACCTACGTTTGTCAATGGACAACTGTTAAATTTCTGTACTGGTTCCATTACAGTCAATATGTAATTAGAACTAACACTTTGGAGCAAGTAGGTCCTCAAATGTTATCAGCACCACTGATCTGAGCCTAATATTTTAAATGGCCACTTCTCCTCAAATACCATTATTTCCATTTTAGGTACCAGACAAAACTGATGGCAAGTCATATCACTTACAGATACATTCATTTCAGGGGAAAAAAACCAACCCTACAAATTAGTTGCTTTGTGTTCTGCTTTTTTTGTTATCCTTTCTGTCAGAAAAGCTCTTTGTCCAGATAGAGCACAAGTGTTACAATCCACTGATACAAAGTGATACAAAGCTTTGTGAAATCAAAGGATATTTACACTGCGACACAAGCAGGTTCTGTACATAATTACAATTGTCCATAACCGTACAGAAGTGTAATCTTACTTATATCTCAAGTATTAAATGAGTAATAAGTTCAGGTCCAAAACAAAGCAATTTCCTTCTACCTACCACAACTATATTTTTTGTACCTCTTGACAGCTAACTCACCACCTGAGCTCACTGAAGCCGGCAGTAGGCCCACGACCTGCAGGGGGCACCGTGCAGCAGGATGACAGCACCGTGAATGATGCAAACCCCGCCACCAAGAGACTTGTTCCCCGAGTACAGAATCAGCACAAATGCCATTTTCCTTCAGGGCTGGCATAAGGTTAAGCTCAGCAACAGGCTACAGTGAGCTGAAGGCTTTCAAGGGCCCACTGAACAAAGTACAGAATGGGGCTAAATGGTAATTCCTGTTGTTCAGAAAATTAGGAGTAGCTGGGCTCTTTCCAGCTGGCAAAATACCCAGTAAAAAGGAAGAGAAGTCAAGAAGCTTTCTGAAGTTACTGATGTGCTTCACTAACAAACTTGCTAGGACACAAAAAGAATTTTCCTATTCAAACTCAAGTTTGAATAGTGACAAGAAATTAATAATAATAAAACAAAAAACACCAAACGTGCTATAGATGTTCAAAACGTTCTGTAGTTTGCCAAGCTGCACCGGGCTCTGTCAAGCCAGATGGGGCTCTGAGCACTCTGATGTAGCCGTAGGTGCCCCTGCCCCTTACTGGGCAGACAGATTCGATGGCCTTTAAGGATCCTTTCTAACACAAACCATTCTGCGATGCTAAGAACAGCCGCCTCCCCGACAGTTCTGCACAGCACACCCGCCCGACTCGGGCACGCCGAACAGCCCACACCGACGGCCCGCTCCGAAGACGCAGCACCTTGTTTACCACAGCGGGAGCCCTCGGCACCATCGGGCCGGCCAGCCACGCGGAAGGCTGCCTCGTTCCGCCCAGCTCTCACCGCTTCCCCTCAGCCACGCACCCACCCGGTCCCCACGGGAGCCCCACCGCGCCGCCCGGCCGCAGCCACCCCCGCGCGCCGCTTGCTCGGCTCCCGGCCCTCGCGACGGCGGCGCCCCGTGGCGAGGCGCGGAGCGCTCCGCCCGCCGCACGACGCCCCCCGGCCCGCAGCGACCCCCCGGGGGCCGGGGGGGCGCCCCCCGCACGCGCCGCACCAAGGTAGCGAGGTCCTGCCGGGAGAGGTGCGGCTGCCCCAGCGTCACTCCCGCCTCGTCCCCCGCCATCTTGGCCGCAAGAGGAAGCGGGGCCGGCCGCGCGGCCGCCTGACCTCTCTCTCCCCTCGGCGCCGCCTTCGCCACGCCCGGCACTCGCCACCCGACGAGGCCCGCCCGAGCTCAGGGACGCTCTGCGCTGGGCGACGCGGAGCCGCCCTCAGCCCCGCAGCGAAGCGACGGCGGCTCAGGCACGGCGCCGGGCAGCCCCGAGAAGGCCTCCGGCACCCTCGCACCGGGTGATGCAACCGGACCCGCCGGGGAAGCGAGGACGTGCGCATGCGCGGGCGTGCGGGAGCGCGGGCGTGCGCGGCGGCAGCGCGCGTGCGCCTTGCGCCCGCCGCGGGGTAACGGTGGCGGGTCGGTGCGGGTGATTTGTATGAGGCTCTCGGTAACGGCTGCCGGGGGCATCGGTGCCTCCACGTGTGCCTGCGGGACGGAGGGCTATCTCTCAGAACGGCGGGCTGGCCGGGCGCGGGGTCACCGCCTGCCGCCGCTGCCTGTAAAGTGTCGGAGTAACTGCGGTGGGAGGATCGGCATGAGGCACGGCCTGGTTGGGAGACGCCCCAAGCCAGGAGGCTTCGGCCCGTGCTTGTGGCTGTGAGGACGTCGGCGCTTGTCGATGCGTATCTAACAGCATGGAAACGTAGGTGTGTTGCGGGTGTTTGAGGGATGTGGTGCAGAAAGGAGATGGGGGTGAAGTTAAAGCGGTGTGCGACTGTATGTACTGGAAGTGAGCATCTCTGGTTTGGTGGCCATCAGCTTATTGGCACTAATGGTAAAGGCCACTGTACGTATGTTAGTCATCTCTGCTGGCCATCAGTCTTTCCCTTCGTGAATCTTTGGTTGAACTCAGCAGCATCCATAGAGATCCACTGCAGGCTTTGAAATTACCATAAGCAGATTCAGAAAATGGCACAGAGGGATGTTTCAGTGGATTGCAACACTTGTGCTCTATCTGGACAAAGAGTTTTTCTGACAGAAAAGATAACAAAAAAAAGCAGAACACAAAGCAACTAATTTGTAGGGTTGGTTTTTTTTCCCCTGAAATGAACGTATCTGTAAGTGATATGACTTACCAGCAGTTTTGTCTGGTACCTAAAATGGAAATAATGGTATTTGAGGAGAAGTGGCCATTTAAAATATTAGGCTCAGATCAGTGGTGCTGATAACATTTCAGGACCTACTTGCTCCAAAGTGTTAGTTCTAATTACATATTGACTGTAATGGAACCAGTACAGAAATTTAACAGTTGTCCATTGACAAACGTAGGTATGGTTGGCCATGTAGTTTGTGGAAAGTTAATTTCAGTTGGCATGTTAGTGTGTCCTCTGTAGGCTGAGTGCTGTATACAGCCCGAAGACACAAGCAGCTTCAGTCTTTGATTCCAGACAGCTAGCACCTGTTGTTTTAAGAGTCAGGTGAGGTTTTTCCTTAAAAATCAAGTAAAATCCCTAATCCACTGATGACAGCCAGTTTAGAGACTAAGAGCCAAATTCACAACTCTCCCCTGTGGGGAACTGAACTGATTCCTCCTCTGTGGAAACACCTTACAGGCTTAGAAGACATTGTTGCTAACAAAATTTCCCCTATGATCAGAGCAACTGCTTTCAATACTAGTAACCATCTGTGTCACGTACATTCATATTAATCAGCAGTGTTTTTTGCCCACTAGAAAGTGTGGAGCTTTCCAGATTTTGCCTGACTGCTTATGTCAAGGCAATAATTCCCAGGCACCCAGCAATATGATTGGAACATGATGATGGAAATGTGTGCCAAACCAGTATGCCTGGTTTAACCAGATATGTCACTTCCCACTTCCACAAATGCCATTTCCATTCTTTCCTGATAGTATTTCCTGATATACAATAGCAAATGCATTGCCAGCATTCTTGTTTCGAAGGAAAGAATACAAGAACGTGGTAAGAAACAATACAGTAATGATGTTGCTAATAACAAAATATATTTCGTCTTCCTACCAAATAATTTTGCACATTGGTCTTGAAAATAAATTTTCATTTCTAATCTTCTGTTGGACTACGTGATGTTATACAATTTTTATATAAAATGCTTTGCTTCTGAGAAAACCATATATGCTTACGACCAAGACATACAAAGCAAGCATGGAGAATATGATGCAATACTTGAATGTGGTTGCCTCAGCATGAGGCATGTATGATCACTGATGAAAATGAGCTGAAAATACTGGATTCTGTAGGTACTTACTTGTTGTAATTATGCAATAATGCAGTGCAGTATGGGATTATAGAAACAGTTGTTACATTTGCAGCAGCCTGTAGAAATGATTTACTCCTTCCCAAGAATTCTGTCAGAAATCTGAAGAAATACACTATCATTTCTATTTGAACAATAAAATTGTCTACTTTACATATTCTATCTTAATATTTTGATTTACTGTACTGGATAATTGTAGCACGAAGAAAAACGCAAAGCTGAAGACTGGTTACTGTCTAGGGCCTAGTAGTAAAGTTTAACAGCGCTGTAGTTTTAGTTAGGAGATTGAATCGTTATTAAGTTTGAGTTTTTCAGTACAGGTAAATTTTCTGTATGGAGGAGTCACTTTTTTTGTGCTCTTAAATGCTGGGAATAAGTATGTCACAGCTGATGGATGTTTTTGTTTATTTGTTGTTTTTTGGTGTTTTTTGGGGGGTAGGTTTGAATCCGCTTTTGTGGCAGTGTATTGAAGAGACCTGAAGATCACCTTACGCCTCAGCTTACCACAAACTGCAAACAGCAAAATGACAGTCAGGTAAAGCCAAAACAGCCCTGCCAGTCTTTTTACCCTTATTGACCTACGCAGGTTGAAAATCTGCAGAGTGCAGAGGGATGTATGATGTTTTGTTGTGTTGATTCTGTGCATGAAAAATAGATTTTCTGCTCTAGGTTCTCTTTGCCAAATCACGAGACGTCAGTGTGTTTGGTATATCAGAAGATAGACCCAGTGTGTAAAGGAAAGCATTTTGGACAGACTGTTTTGCAGGGTCTGTTATAGGAAAAAGGAAAATGGTTTTAAACTATAAAGGGAGATTAGGTTGGGTATAAGAAAAAAGCTTTTTATGATAGGGGTAGTGAAGCACTGAAACAAATTGCCCAGCCCAGAGAGCTGGTGGATATCCCATCCCTGGGGACAGTGAAGGTGAGGCTGGATGGGGCTCTGAGCAATTGATGTAGCTGTAGGTGTCCGTGTTCGTTGCAGGGGAGTTGGACCAGATGTCCTTTAAAGGGCGCTTCCAACGCATTTGATCATTTGAAAGATCATTTGATTCCGTGTCTTTCCTTTGGGACTTAGATAGGAATGGTAGCTGCTTTGATAATGGTTGGTTATATCATCTTGATTGCACGAGTAACAGGTTTTGAAACAGCAACTGGGGAAATGGGGCAAATTTACTGTACGAGTTAAGCGAGGGAGGTGGAATGGTATGAATCTGACTGAGCAGAGAGAGGTCAGGTCACCGGTATGGAGGAGTCAGTGAATGGGAGCAGGCTGTTTGTGGTGTGGAGTAAGTAGGCTATGTGGGAGCCGTGGGAGGTCAGTTAACAGAGTGGGAATAGCAGTGGGTAGTTTTTTGTGAAGCTGTGCATGCAACAGCAGATTCATTGTGTGAAGCAGTAAGAGGTGGGATAGACGTTCAGATTGGGGGTGGCAGTCATAGAGGAATTGTGCTGTTGTTTTAGAAACCAAGAATGGGGTGGGGGTGGTAATGAGCAACTGAAAATAGACAGCGAAGGGGATGGGAACAGCAATAAATGGGGAGAGGATGGCAGAGCACAGCCTGTTATTTAAAGCAGTGAGTGACATAGGAGATACGTAGCAGGCTGTGAATAGTTTGAAGAAGGCAGGGACAGCCCAAAGGACAGTAGTTTTGTATAGTGTCAGGACATTCTGTGATGTACATGAAGTACATGAGGAGGTTGTTGTTGGATTGTTTTACCTCTTTACCTTTTGCCAGCCAGCGACAAGCTACAGAAAGCAAGGAGGGGAAGCTTGGGCTAAGGCAGAGCTCCGCTCAGGGCCGGGAGCTGCGTGCAGTTCGTTGCTCGCGGCTGTGCCGAGCAGCCGTAGCTGGCGGCCCTGACCCGCCTGGCTCTGTGACCTGGTTCCCACAGCGGCTGGCAAGGCTGCGTGTGACGAGGAGGCGGCCGGGGTCAGCTGCAGCGCCCGTCGCTGCCAGGTGCGAGGGGGAGGAGTTCAGCCGGCTGCTGACAGGGGCCGCTGCCGCTCGGAGCGGGTTTCCGTACGGCTTCTGTACCCGCCGCGCTGCCGCCCGAGGCGAGTGGGAACTGCGGTGCGGGAGCTGAAAGGGGCCGCAGCGAGCGGGAGGACGAGACGACGCGGCCAGCCCTGCAGCCGCCTGCGGACGAGCCAAGCAGATGACGCTCCTTGGAACCGCATTCCCGATCCCCAGCGGCGGCCGCTCCCGGTCCCCGGTGAGAGCCTTTCCCTCTCCGGGGGATCATCCGCCCGGGATCCCCGCGGCCGACGGATGCGGCCTGGCCGATGCCTGGCTGGTATGGGAACGCCACCGGGCGGGGATAAACGCGCGGGACCGGACCGGGCGAAGGCGGCGCAGCGTCTGCCGCTCGGGGCGCGGCCTCCCGCCGCCGGCCGCCGTCCCGGGCCCGCAGGTGGCGGCGGAAGTGACGGGCAGCGCGGGGCGCCCGCGGAGGGGGAACATGGCGCCGGCGGCCTCTCTGGGCAGCGCCGAAGGTAACGCGGCGGCGGGCGGGCGGCCGGGCGGGACCCCGGGGGCGAGGCCGGGCCCTGCTGGGCCGGGCTGGGAGCGACGGTGCGCGGGCGGCGCGGCGGGGGGCGGCTCCCCCGACCGCGGGCGGCGGGGAGGAGGAAGTCCAGGGTCCCCCCTTCCTCCGTCTCCTCCTCCTCTCGGTCGTGCCTCGGCCGCTGCCCCTCTGCTCGGCCCCCAGGCGCGGCCCGCCGCCTCTGGCTTTATGCTCCACGCGAGCTCCCTTTCTGCCGGCTCGACGGGAGGAGCCGCGGCCCCGGCACCGCTGCCGCCCGCAGGTAGGTGTAGCCGCCCCCGGGCCTCCCGCTTTAACCCCTCGTCGGTCCGCCCTCCGCGGGAGAGCCTTGCGGGGCCTGGGGCGGCCGCTGAAGGCTCCCAGCCGCAGTCCTCCTCGGGGCAGCTCCCGCGCTGCGGGCCGGTGTGTGCGCGTCGGTGGGCGAGCGAAAGTAGGTCAGTCACATGGTGCCGGCCGCAGCGTTCGGAATAGTAGTTGTAGGTAGAAGGAGCGGGCAGCTGCTCAGGGTTGGTGCTGGGGTGCTTTGGCTTAGGTTGGTTAACACGTAAATGTTGCACAAAAACACGGTGTGGTTTTTTTTTCCTTTTCTCTAAAAAGATCATCGTAGCCATCAAACTGTTCCTCGATTAAAAAGGCAGCGCTGCAGCAATGTGCATGTTCTTGTCTTTGCCGTGTCGTAGAGATGTTCCTCAGATGTAACCCGGCGCTTCCACCGCCATTGCCCCAATTCAAACTCGAGTCCCTTCAGCACACCACCACGTGTCAGCATCATTTCTGTTGTTCCTCCCAACATCCAGCCCCATGAGTTTAATTTCCACCACAAGTCCTATAAACTTTCCCACTGTCACTCATCTCCTTTCACTTTCCTTAATTACATCCTATGGCTGCTATGGATATACACGTGCTGATTTGCCTTTCAGCAGGCAGAGCGGGCCAGGTCATTGCTGGGCTCACCCTGGAGGTACTGGGTCTTATTCATCTATGGAGCTGCCAGTCTGCAGAAGCTTTCTGTCTTTCTGACAAATGAAGTTGGTGTTTGGCAGTGTAGTTGAATGCCATGCCTTGGACAAAGGGCATGATCTTTTCAGTTGTATTTTCTCAGAGGACTACTAAATTATCCTAAAGCATTGACAGCTAGAATTATTTTTACTACAATATCACTGCCTGCTCCTTACCATTTATTAATACGTTTATTGTACTGTTAAAGCCCAAACACTCCTGTAAACAAATATAATTAGATTTTTACAGCATAGTTTTCTTAATGAGTATCTTTGCAGTGAGAAAATCAGTGGTTATTAATAATCCTGGCATTTGATAAAGTTATGATATAAGATGCAAATATATATAACAAAGAATGCTGACACTTAGGGTCCTGTCTTTAAGAGCAGTGGCAAATGTGTTATTTTCATCACTGCCATCGTTTACCTCTTATATACTAGCAATGCAAGTTTTTCTTGTAGATTCTTAAGGTTGTGTTAAAAATATTTCAGACTGGGTTCCTGGCATCAGTAAATGTAACTCGACCAAGATTGGGCTGAGCTTGCTCCTTGCAAGTAGCGTGGTTTTATGTACAGGTAGAACTGCACTGATTTTTTAGTCAAATGGTTCATAGCTGTTTTGATGTCTGTCAAGTGCACTTACGTCATCCACTTAATGCACCTAATGGTACGAGAAACTGGTGTATACCTCCATACTGTTAATTTATGAGATTGAAACTTGGTGAGGCTAAACTGGTCAAGCAGCTACAGCTGCTGCATATGTCTGGCAGCATTTTAAAAAGTTTGTGAGGCATGTACTTTCATCATAGTCCTTTTGATGATCATCGCAGGACTTGATTTAGGAGCTCATTGGGGGAGCACATTTTGTTCTCTGGTGGCTACTGTTGTAAAATGAGAACTTTCTGACATAAAATCTTCCAGTATTCATCTAAATTCAGTGTATGTGAAACCTATGCTCTACATCAGTATTTTAAAACAAAATGGTTCTGATTTCTTTTTTTTGTGCTTGTTACATTTGTATCTTTCTGCACAGAAAGACTAAATCGGGCTATGATGGCAATTTTTAGGAACAGCAAGTAGTATGGGTTGAAAAGTTGTCCATTGTGAATGCATGCAGCAGCACGTGTGCTTTGGGTTAGAGGTGTTTTCAAAAGGAAACACAAATAGTATGGTAGGTACTCTGTGAAGGCAGCCACAGTACACTTCCAGTGTGACGTATAACCAAGCTGTGCTGAGACAGTCTGTTTAGAGTTGTAGTATGCTTGGTCACACTAGTTCTGATGATACTTCCAGCATAACCACAGCGACCTCGCAGGCAACTGATGCATTGCAGAAGTGCCACAGCTGTTATGAGCTGGTGCAGATTGCTTGCAGGTAGCAGCATCAGTAAAAGTTGTAAGAGGAGCGGTCAGCATCTGATGCGTGCCAGTAAGAGAAATCCTTTGTGCAGTGGGTAGTTTGCAGGAGAACCCAAGAGTTAGCTTCTAGAGCCGTGGCAGCATGATGCTTCTGCTCAGCTCCCTGCTTCTGGAGCAGCCTGGTGCTTTGGGAACCCTCACCTCGGGCTGTGGGAAGTCTGCAGAGTGAAGCTACCAGATAGTGTCGATGGATTTAAGAGTAATTGTTCCCAAGGCTTAGCATATTAATTATGAAGGATTTTACATATGCAGAAAAGTGGTTATTATTTACTTATTGTTTCCTCATCTGCAGTTATTTCAGGAATGGAAAGTTTTGATAGCCAATGGTTATTGATCTTACTTACTTCTAGGTCATTCCTACTGTTGCTGTCAGTGGAGAATTGTGAGGAAAAATGATGGCTTAGCCAAAGTTTAATAGTTCAGTGTCAAACCATGTAAAGAGAGATTTAAATTTGTGGGGATACATGTATTGCATAAACATGTTAATACACTAATGGTGTATCTAGCTGCATTCAAAGGCCTGGTGGTGAGTTTGAGCAATTGGAAATGTCTTGTTTGTATGTTTAGCATTTTGA